CTTTGGTTCTCTGATTTAAAACGCATAATTTATGCCGTAATTCTCCTATTTTCTTCACAAAAAAAAAAAACTTTACTACGTTATGCCCTTTTGCTGAACGAACGTGAATGCAATGAAATTTAAGTTTTATGAGGTTCAAAAATTCTATGAGTATCCCGAAAACTGAGAATAAACAATACTACTAATAATAATAACAATAAAATTGCTAGGGAAAAATATTAATTTACCGTTTAACAAATAGTCTCTTATTGAATCTCCACATCAATCGATCAAAATCCAGAATACTTAAACATATGAAAATGTGAAAATAACGTACCTACTGTAAATAAATATCTAGAATTAAGAAAAGTGTAGAAGAATAGGGAGTGCGAAGACTGCTTTGCTATTCTAACAAAAAAATTAATGATAACAAAAAGTTTGCCAAGCTTTGAAAACACAAACTAAACCCAAGTCATATTTATCCATTTATAATGGCTCTTCCGCTGGCGGCAATATTAGAGCACTTATGCACATTCAGAATTTCCAGAAAATTCTAAGAGCATATGCAAGCACCAAATTCCTGTACATGTTGCCATTCTTTAACCTCAAAATATAAAAATTGCTCTAGACTTGGATTCTTCTAAAAACTTGAATCAAGCGTCATAAGGGTTCATAAATATGTGCATGATGAGGTACAAATGAAATTATGACGAGCAATATAAAGAAACCTCAGTGCGGTTTTAGCTACTAATGTCATCTTCTATTTTCGGAAAAACTCTATTTCAGCTATCTTCAGTTATATTTAGAAACGTGCGAGTGAAAGCCTACATTAAGAATTATTCAGAAAGAATTGACCCCGTTTTAAACTGTTTCAAATACGATTCAGCTTCTCTCAAAATGCCCTCCACGAAAGCATTCCTTTCTTTAAGCAGATATCTTTTGTGTGTTTTTCTGTATTTAGTTTAAAAAAATAAGCAAGTAGTTTTATTTTTTTAATTTACAAGTACATTAATAAATAAGAACTGAAAAGAAAATAATTAAATATTTCAACTGAGAAGTAATGGATGTGACTTCCTTTAAATATATAAACATCAAAATGGTAATTAAAATATCGCTTTTATTGCACACAGTCACAATAATACATTTATTAAGACCATGTATTGAAACTATCATTCCAATACATCCTTATCGTATTCCCGTCAGAAAAATTTCCATGGGGTAAGATCCAGTGCTGAAAGACAGCTTTGAAACACAAAAGCATACGATCTATTCCGTTCAATCCAGTACTAATGATTCACTTTGTTAACATATTACACGTAAATATTTTCATCTCATTCTAAAACTCACTGGGATTTTCTTTTTCACTTGATTTATATCAAATTAAAATGCAGTTTATATGTATGGAATTATGCCCAACTGTAAACGAGGTGCCTTTCACAATAGCCTTCTGTTTAAGCAAAAAATGTTAATTGCAATGATTAAGTTGCTAAAATATTTCCAAATAGCTTATTAAAAAAAGAAGAAAAGGAAAAAAGAGCGAAAACAACGATTTTCATGCATTAGAAATAGTATATATTTTAGTATTAAGTTCTTGAATCTTTTTCGATACAGTAATTATAATTTGCTAATAAATATTCTCCTTATCTACACAATTGCGACATTTCCATCTTCTATGGTAATGGTTATAAAAATTTTATATTTAAATGGTTGTAAAATTCTACGTTTGTTGTATCGCTAATTAACAAAATAAAATAGAAACCTAGATTTTGAATATTAATCCAGCCCGAATGATTAAGCTGTAAAATTATACACTGGAAGACTTCAAAAGTTCTGTGCAATTTATAAGATTTATAAAAATGTAATCTAGAATTTTGAAATAGATTCGAGAATGAAATAGATTCCTGCAGACTGTAAGGAAGATAATGTCAAATGCTTATTGTGATGAAATTGTTTAGTAAGGTTAATTGCGTGTTTTTAGAATTTATGAATTCTGCTTGTTATAAAGAATTTGCTTTCAACTAGTTGATGGTAAACTATTTCATGAAAATTTTAATTTTATTTATTTTTTTACTAAAAATTATATTTTATTGGGCATTTGAATAATATATAATTTAATTGGTTTCTGATTAAAGAAGATTGTGTTTGTAATCTATTTCATATAAATACTTTGAAAAGAATACCACAATTTATTTTTTTGTTACGTTATATCTATATTATCAACAAATCTTAAATTCGTTTCGATCTGCACGTTTATCCGCGCAATATTTAGATATCGATAAGCAATGCTCGTTTACCTGAAACAATATGTTATATGTGCAATAGCATGTTATGTTAATTGCTGCAAAACTATCATGGCCTTCAAGTAAAGTATCCCTTCTATTTGTCCATTTTGCCAAATATCTAATAAACTGCAAAAAACAGTAAATATATATTGTGGGGATTCTAATTCGCGCGTATTTGACCGAAAGCATTACTTCCCTTACCTGAGCTTACAGGTTTTCAAGAACCAACTGTGTATGCATATGGATAACATGCGTATGAATCTATAAATATGAAAAATATTATAAGATGTGCAACAGTTTTATTGACAATATATATAAACATGAATACGAGCAATGATTTATAAATAATAATTTCATTGCTAAACAATATCCATAATGCATCTTTTATGCTTATGAAATTTCTGTTCTTTATTTTTTCTGCAGCTTCACTTTGTTTCTTAGGAAAACATTGTGATTGATTTCAGAGTTTCAACATCATTCTGATAATTAACAAATTCTTTCCTTAATTTTCTTGAATAACTGGCTTAAAAAATTTCAAAAACCTTAAAATTTTTTAAAGATTTTTCTGCTGTTTTCCCTATCCTTTTAAAGAAAGGTATACATGTGTGAACAAAAGTTCTTCTTTTTAACCTAAAATTAAGAGGAAAAAAACTTAGTTTAGAATTTACGCTTGACGTGAGAAGATCCACAACTTGATCCTCCAATCTTATTTAGGACGGTTCAGGGTGACATAAGGTGAATGCCTTTATGCTAGAATGACTCATCCGTTTTACGTGGCTCATAATTAAGCAGTTGCACTTAGTACCGTATATCATGAGATGCTTAGATGCATAGAAAGTTTGCACTTATAAAAATCAAAAAATGTTACTTGTCTGCCGTTAATACAGTGAAAAGCAGAAAAGAGATGATCGGAGGTGATGCATGGGTAAGTGTGAAATTTATTTTATGTGTTATCTTGAAATTAAAACAATTATTAGGAAAATACACAAATTATCTTTCCGCATAATGCGTCCTCTGTTCGTGTAATACATTTGTTTTTCTTTGAAATGACCTGCAGCTATTTGATTGCTCATTAGTTGCAAACAATTCACGATTCAGAAAGTGTGTGGAGCAAAAAAGGAATTTACTGCTTTCTTTTTTCCTAATGTATTGAATGGCCTTTATTCAAAGAAATAGAATAAGAACATTTTATTCTGTAGTTGTGCATAAAACTTCCATCAAGCTGATAGGAGAAAAGACAGCAAAGAAATCGGTAGTACTTTCTCTCTAGAAAGATATAAGTTAACAAGATTGGTAATACTTTCTTGTTTAAGTTTCTTGGTGCTTGATTCAAATAATTAATGCAGTAATTAATATTAACTTAAAACTTATTATTAGTCTACAATGAAAAATATGAAGGTTAATACTCTAGTAAACCAACTGACTGTGCCTTTTTCATTAGCTTAAAAACTTTATGGAGTTCAGTTTAGTATATGTTTTGCACTACAGTTGCTTATTTTTGAATACCAACCTTAAAATTTATCCAATATTTTATAAGTTCTTATTAAAAATTTGCAATTTTCGTTTAGAACTGAAACCTATTATTTTGAGAATTTATGATTGTCCTAATCACTACAATATAATTATAAAAGACTTTTCTAGCTGTTAAACATCAGCAATAATACAGGAGGCTATTTACACATTTTAGAACGATATTGATGCAAAAATTTCAAGTGTGCTAAAAGATCATTCAGCAAAAATCTACCATTTTAAAACTAAATTATAGATTGCTAAGATTTTTTTTCTGCTTTAAAAAGCGGAATATGTAATCATGCTTTGGGTAGATCATACTCTTTCTTTTTCTAAAGGGAAATATTCTTGATTTAGTAGTTACAAATTCTTCATAAAAATCATTGTATCAATGTATCCCAAGTCGGTATAACAAAAAGCACTGTCTAAACACTGTTTCTCAAGGGGTAAAATGAATAAATGAATACATAAGAAATATGTATATTTAGAACTATTTTCAAATATAATTCAAATCCCCTCCCTTTTCATCTGAAGTAAAAAATCTAACAACTCAAAGAACAATATCAGCATCTTTAAATACATCTGCGTTAATAATGAACAAAATAATAAAATTTCTCATGAAAGATAAAAAGCGTGATGTTCATCGCCTTTTGCCAAAGCAAATCGGGCTGATGGTAGAATGTGTTGCAAAACTCTGCACTAAACACATTTAGCTTCAGCCAAATAAAAAAGTATTTTAACATTTGAGTTTTTCATATGGTCGATTTTCAACGTAGAATGAGTTGAAATATGTTGAAACTGTTTCAAAAATATAAAAGAAATTTAAGTAAAGGGTTCATGACTTAGCATGTCTCGTACAACAAGAATTTTAAGTGTTATAAGTTTATAACTAGGTATATTTTATTCATATTTCTTGAATATTCTCTGGTGTTTCGCCAATGGCTAAGTCTGCTTTTAGAGCGTTAAAATAAGTCCAGTCTAAATGCAGACATAAAGCGTGAAATATGTGGAGATTCAAATTATGTAAACATCCTCGGAAGCCTTTCTCTTCAAAATTTCCTATTAAAATTTTGAGTTTTTTGCTTCATACCAAAAAAATTTAACTTTCATTTTCTTTTGCTGTCAGTGGCTGTGTTGGGTGTATCTGAAAAGTACTTCATGCAATATTCTGGATTTCTAAGAACATTTATAATATTCTGTATTAAAATAAATCCTTATTTTTTTCTGCAGATGGGTGCAGATCATTGACTGTTGTGGGCGAAATATCTGCATGGAACTCCAAGCAGCACATGCTTCCCGAATCGTGATATTTATCTTTTTACTAATCACTTGCTACGTATTTCTTGCCAAAGGTAAGTTATATACTCAAAATTGTCTGCTTTGCTACAACCATTTTATATAATTGTTGAACTCTACTAAATTTTTCTCTTTACTTTTTAATAATTTTTCGCTTCAAAGTGTTGATAAACTAAAAAAAGGACGAATATTTTGCTGATATAAACGACATAAAAATTACGATAAATTATAGCATCTACATTAATAAATCATCTTAATGTAAAATAGAAAGCTTAAAAAAATTGGCAGTTAATGGGAAGAAAGTTATAATGAGTATATATAATATCTTTGTTTTTTAAAAAAATGACATAGACAATTGAGTATTCAGAGACTAAACAATGATAAAAAAAAAAAAAAAAAAAAGATTTCCTTGCATACTGTACATCGACAATCAAGTTATTGCAAAGAGAAGTAGAGCTTCTCTTAATACTTCCTCCAGATTGCACTTAACGAATTACCTTATTTTCTTTAAGGTGAAAACTCGTATTAAATGGAAAGCATTTCAAATTTTTGAAACACGTAACAAGATAATTTAAGAAAACGTTCACACATACTTTCTGTGAAATCATGTATAAGCCCCACGAACGTGCCATGAATGTACAGCATTATGGGAAAGCATTAAAAGAAGTCTAAATAACGTTATTTTCCTTATATCTTTAGTTTTATTAATTCAGTTCTGAAACTTTACTAAATGATTGCGTGTAATCGTATGTTAATGTCTTTAAGAATCTTCAGTTCTAAAAGTGAATGAATCTACGTTATTGGTAGCCTGTTTAGGTCAAATTTTATTTCCTCGTTGCATTCCTATATACGTAAATAATTGCTTTATTATAATATAAATGAAATAAGTTTATTTTGATATGTTACCTGTGTAATGAACCAATTATTCAAAATGTAACTTGTTTTCAATACACTGAAATGCAAACTAATTCTATTTCCACACTTTCAGCTATTGTTCAAAGACAAACGGTTCGAGGATTCAGCCTTGAAATGTTATTTCTGACTATTAGAATTAGCTAATTTATTTTCTTGAATAAATCCTAATCAGTATGAAGAGGCTGTTACTCAACTCAGCATAGAAATTATACAGGGTGTTTGAAAAAGATGTGTATAGCATCTGTTTCCTTAAATATTTACCTTAGACACTTCTAGTTACAAAGTTTTCCTAAATAGGCAGATCTTTGTAGGAAAATATATTCAATCCTGTGTGGTGAAAGATTTGAGGAACATAAAACTAATTTTTTATATAAGCCTTTTAAAACTAAAATCCAAAAAAATATATCCTTCGTCTGACGCAAAGGAACATTAAATGTGACATAAGTACAGTAGATGGTTGACAGTTAACAGAAGCATAGTAGATAATTTCTGACACAAATGTGTAGTAGATGGTTGACAGTTATAAGAAGTTTGCTTCAATCTATGAAGTTTAAAATGTTTTAGAACAATATCTGGAACAGAGAAAATCAGGTAATCAGACTTCATTGGATCAATGCTTTAAGGAGCAGTAATTTTTTTTTCTTAATTATTAAACAAAATTTGATGTAATGATTTTTGTTATTATTTTTCATACATAATGCATGTGAAATTAAACTATTTATACCATTTTTTAATTCTCTTTTTGAAGCATTTTAATTTTCTATATCAGTATTTTGTCCCATCAGTGGCCGAATGATTAAAACCGCTAAATACTGGTAGTTCAACTAAGGCACAAACTCAAACTGAGGACTGGCTGCTTGGTCAGATTTCATGATTTTCCCCATGTATAATGTGAAAACCAACTATTTTTCCTTAGAAAATCCTCCACGAAGGTATATTGCTCCCTCTGGCAGATAATCCTTGTGTGTTTTGCCGTATTCAAATAACCTTGGTTCTTTCAGTAGTCTGTTTAATTAAATCCCTGCATATTGTATTTATTGTTGTCCTAAACCTTTTGATCAGAACCTGTGGCTAAATCAGGACCACAAATTTTATTGCATTCAAGGAACAAGAGTTAGGTTTATAAAAATATATTTACTTTGAATAAATAGGTAAAGGCTCCTTGCACTATCTATCCAGATTAAGATGTCCTTCCTGTGCCCTAAACTAGCGTTCTATTGCCGAGATGCTACTGTTGTTTGCTGCAATCGACATCGCAAGCTCTGCCACTGCTGGCAGATTAAGATGTCCTTCCTGTGCCCTAAGGTAGCGTTTTATTGCCGAGATGCTACTGTTGTTTGCTGCAATCGACATCGCAAACTCTGCCACTGCTGGCGGTGTCATCAGTTGTCCTGTTTCGCGTTTGGTTTTGAGAAGGTGGGGCATTTACACCACTGCCTAGATTATACATTATGCAACAGAAATATATTACATTGTTGCTTAAGTAATCTGTTATCTTGCTTGGACTGGTAGGGCATGGAAATGAACTGCACACGAAATGGTCGCATCTTCATCACACCTCGCCATTCGTTGCTTAGAGATACATAAGCTTAGTCCCTTGTTCTACTTAGTGTTGTATGTCCTGCTTCATGCTGTTAGCGGCGCTTATTGATTTCCTGTGATGGAGTTGCAGACACAAATATTTTATCTACAGTTAATTGCTTTGTTTCGCTTTTGCTGTGGCACTTTTTTTGCGGCTAATTTGCACTGTTTAATTAAATCCCTGCATGTTGTGTAAAAACAATCATAATAAGCTTCTTGTCTTAGCTAAATTAATTTCTGGAAGCTAGATAGTCCATAACCTTCGTAATTTTTTTTCCTTAAGAGATTATTTTTTAGTGCATATCTCAGGAAAGGGAATAAATCTCCTTCCGAATTAGATTAAGGGACTTTGTTACGGGGCAGGGAAAAAATGATGTTCAGGAATTGTCTTAGGTATTCCTATTCTTTTTCTCTTCTACCAACCTCTCGAAAGGACATTCGGCTCGACAACATTTTAAGCATATCTATGTTGACCGAAAGCACTTAAAATAATCCATGTATTACCAAAGATTCGAACCTGAGTTCAAGTCTATGACACCGGGCTTTTTACCACACCATGCTAAAAGGGTGGCACTGTATATTGCTTCAATTTTTTTATGTTACGATTTTTGTTCTTGTGCTTAGCCATTCATACCTTTCGAAAACAGTTCATTCGTCAAAGAATTCATGTTTTAATATAATGCTTTGAAAGTTCAATCATTTAAAACTTTCTTTTACTCTTGTTACTAAACTTAATTTTTTGTACTTCTCCATAACGAGTAAACTGAACTAACATTCTTTACCTTCAATCTTCGTAAATTATGCTTATCTCATCCTTCAGTAAATGTCTTGATGGAGTATTGTTTAATGCTACTAACGTTTCTACAGTTCCTTCTACTTTTTTAAATTGATGTATTTATTTCAGTTCTTAAAAACAATCATAATAAGCTCAACTCAATTATATTTGCGTTTTTCAATTCAATAATATTATGGACGCTTATATTTATTTTGTTTTAGACAGTCAAAATATATTTGCATTCCGTTAAAAACAAGTCCTGGAAAGAAATAAGGAAGTACAAAATGATAAAAAAAAACTATGATTTCTAAACGCTTTCAGAGCTAAGATCTCTCAAAGGATGCAAAAGTTTTATTTATCTTTATAAATATATGTGATAGAGACAGTTAATTTCATAACGCTTTCGTGATTGTAGATTCTGTATGATTCCACATTTGACAGAAAGAAGAACAAAAACTAACCAGTTTTGATGCTCAAGGTTAAATCATTGTCTTACTAGATTTAAAGTAGAGAGAAAGTCTGTTTTACTTGCTATCCACGCCCGCTTTTGATACTTGAAGGACATCTTTAGTAATATTTCCTCAAGCATTCTCTTTTTTATTACCGTTAAAAAATGCTTGTGCATGCAGCACATTAAGATGAAAGTTTTCTCAGTTTTCTGATGAGAAAAAAAAAAGTCGAACGGCTGTCAACATTTGGCGAACGCAATTAGAAATATTATCCCATTTATTTACCTTTTATGTTCTTAAGATAAATAAATGAATAAATAAGCTAAGGAATGAAATCACACATCGAATTCTTAAGTACGATACAGCCCTGTTCAGACAAACTAAATATAACATAAACACAAAATTTAAAAAAAACACACAGCATTTCCATGAAACGTCCACCTTCAGGAATTTTAGAATATTGCCAAAAAGAATAACGCTGATAAATATCGTCATAGGATTGAAAAAATTGCCTATAATTTCTTAGAATATATCTTCGAAAACTCTCAGTGAATGTTGATTATTGAAATCCATCTTCTAAGGAAATGCTTCATAGTTCACTGATTTTGCATAGAATATTATAAGCTTTGTTTGGGTTATTTGAATAGGGCAAAGCACATGAAGATTGTCATTCTATGGGTAGGAATACCCTCGTGGAGGATGCTTTTAGGGAAACTGGCTTGTACTCATATTCATGGTACTCGTACATATGAGAAACCCAAGAAAAACTATCGCACAATCCGTCTGTTCGCCTGGGCTCGAACCCAAATCCATATTCAGCGGTCTTAAATACACGGTTATTAGACAGATGAAGTACTCTGAGGATACTTTCTTCCATTATAAAACATGTATTTACTTCCAAAGCATCAAATGATACTGTTGATCTGAAAGAAATATGAAAAGCTTTGACCGCTTAGAAACACGGAAGATTAATTATTTTTGTATTAAATGTGTGTTTTAATTTACTTTTTTATACTTTTTCTTCTTCCGGTTAAACAAAGTTCGGCTAAGTTGAGCTTTATTGTACCTGCATTTCTATAGACATATTGTACGTAAAATATCTGATATGTACAGTATACGCTGCAAATGAGTTTTCATGATTAAAAAGGTTTATAGTGAAACGTATTCCAGGCATCTGCACTGCAAACATTGTAATAAACTCTTTATTTTGACACCTTAATTAATAAATTATTAGTTACGCAGAGATATTTTACATGTGTCTAATCATAACGCGTATATTAAAATTTATTTATGGGACTAAGATGTAAACATACAATAGACCACTTCAAGCACATTA